GGCAAATTTGCCACTTTAAGTGAAAGCTAGTTTGGAAATGATTGTTAGTGATAATATTCGTATCATGAAAGTACATAATTGCAACCTGGCAAAGACATTAGTTTGATATATAAAAATATCCTGTATCTGTTTCCGCAATATATGTATATTCCAAACACACACACACACACACAACATTGCTTCTGTAGTGGATTTCCACTTGGAAGAAATAAAATGTTCTTGACTGAACATATCGGCTTTCTATTAAAGGGCATGTTTCTTGCCAACAAACCATTAGTTTACCAGTGTTCAATGTTAGAAATAGTTCCTTAGTGAAAAATAAAATTGTACCATCATTGGATCTCATCTTTTAGTTTAAGTGGACCTCTAGTGACTGTCATACATACATGGGATCCAGGTTGGAATCTATCACTAATACTATCTTGGTATGGAAATTGAGACATAGGTTTGTTATTTCTAAGCCTACTTTCTTAAACTATATCATAATATAGGTTCAAAAACATAACTCAGCACAGTAACAGTCACAGTTGAGAAGCAAACAGGTCCCACTGTCCTTTACCCATCCCTAAACATTCCTCCTCTTACTGTTATTCCACAGTTCTTGGTGGTTTCCACAGCAATGGAAGTGGAGAGAGGTCCGTTTTGAAACAAGACTAACCTTTTACTCTCCTACTCAACAATGTAATATATAGTTCATCTTTTCTGTAGCTTCAGTTCCCAAACCTTTATATTACAGATCACTTCTCCAACTTGAGCCCTATCACCCAATTTGCAATTATTCTCTAGTTTGTTTTCTGAATGAACCTACCATACTCATCCCTTCTCCATCTCTGTAGAAGCTGTTCTTTCTCGCACACCCTCCCGTTCTCTCTGTATCTGAACCCTATCTGCTCTCTAGGAATCTGCTCAAGGGCCTCTTTCTGTGTGTAGGATCTCGAACTAGCCCCTTTAATCCTGAAGCACGCCACTCACTCTTCTGCATTAGTAATCTGTACCTCTATAGTCACCGATGTTTTCATGTGTGCTAGTCTTGGGACTCCAGGGAGATTATAAATTCACTGAAGACAGCATTATGACTTATCCTCCTTTTTACACTGTGTAGTAAATTTCAGTACAGGACTAGCACAGAGATTTGCAAAGAATAATTGCTTGATAAATATGAATGTTAATTCTTATAAAACCTTTAAAGAGCTGAAAGATGAGAATCCTAACATTCAAGCTTCAAGTTCATTCATGGTCACCATGTTACTGGGACTTTTTTGACCCTCTCTCAACCTATTCAACATAATGTAATGAGGAATCACCAAATACTTCTGCCTGAATCATCTACCTGCACTATTTCTGTTAACAATAAGCTAAATTTTACTCCATCAAAGTCAGCCTCATGAAAAAAGGAAGAGAATTTCTATTCTGTACTTTGGACAGATGGAAGAGCAGCTACATCTTTCATTTATTCTGTTAGGGCTTTATTCATTTATTGAATAACTATTCAGCAAAAGCCTACTATACACAAAGGGTAAACCTGCTAAGGACCAGAATGCTACCATTCTATGATTCATTCCTTTATGCCTTAAACATCTTCTAATCTTCACATATCCTCTATTCAATGCAAATACACCAGACAGAAGAAACATTTTTAACCACTACTGGGTAACACCTTCACCAGGATCACTTGACCCCTTTCTAAGAGCAAGAATGGTGCCTGGAGAGCCAGAAACAGAAAGTACTAAAAGAAGATGTGTTCAGTGGTAATAACAAGCCGCACCTATAATCTGGTCTAGAAAATGACCAAATCTCCTTTGATAGAGCTGAGCCGGGATGTGTTCAGCTCTCTCCCATTTGCCTGGGACCAATCTTCAAATTTTCTTCACTCTAGGATATATATCTTTGAAGGTTCTTCTACCTGGGATAGGCCATAGAGAGAAAGGCAATTTCCAAAATAGTCCCAGTAAAGTCAAACCACCAATATCTGGTCACAAATCCAGTAATTCTGGGGGATGAGGGGAAGCTCTTACTTTGTTATCCACAGGAGCTTACTTAAACATTTGGCCTTGTTTAAATAATGCATTTTGAGACCCCAAGCAAGTGTAGTTCCTTTGTCTAACCAAAAATGAAAAAGAAGAATCTTTTTCTCATTTCACAAAGAAAAGGCCAAACTTCCATAAAATGCCAATACAAATATCAGCACATGTTATGTTTAATCAGTTGGACTGATAGGAATGATCAGGTCAGGGAATGTCTCTGAACAAGCTTTTTAAGGTTTCCATCCTGAGCTCCGAGAACTGAGCTGTGCGGTTTTGCTGCCCTCTTGAGGAGAGTTAAGCATCACCTCTACTAGCCAGACTGACATTCTCATTACATTACCATATGTTTACTGAAACTGATTAACTGACTGACTATATTAATCAAGTCAAAAATTAAAATAGTAATTATTACAATACAAAACTTCTTCTAAACATCTCAAAGAACCAATAATCACTACAAACAACCAATAGAAGTTATTGGGTCTACTATTTGCCTTTAATGGACAATTAACATGGAATAATCATTTACTCAAAGGCATTCAGAAAGTGTGCTACACACTTGCAGTCCTGGATTCCCTGTATAAAATGCACCAAATAAAATAACCCCTAAAAAAGAATAACTCAAATTCAATATAAATAAATTTATTTCTTTATTTGCAGGGGTATTTGAAATTTGTAGATATTTTGCTGGAAATATTGCTGTTTCTACAATTTAAATCTTTCTCCCAATTCACAATAGTAGAAAAGCAAATCACATAATCCGTAGCTCCCAGTTTATTTATTCAACAGGATTTGTTTAGAGTCTCCTGTGTGCTCCTTCTGAATTATCCCAAAGGTTGGCTGAGAAGCTGATGAATTATTTAATTCTCTCCTGCCACCCTATGATTCTCCTTCTGATGCTTCAAGTGTGTGACCAAATTTACACACAGCACAAAAGTCAGCTATCAATTGATTCATCCTCACTCCTTCTCCACCTGAACAATCAAACCATTAATATGTATTAAGAATTCACTTCCTGCACAGTTTGAAAGTTATAAAATTTTATAGTGAGGAATTGAGAGTCAACTTTCCCCCCTCATCCTACTCTCTGCTGTCACTAATCATGGAATATTTTAACTCTGCCTTATTGAGTTTTCTTAACCCTTTCCCACACCTCTGAAAACAGCCCTTCCATTAAATTCTCCTCCATTATTCCATTTAAGTATTTGCTATCTCTTTCTTGCCAGGACCCTGACTAATACACACAGCAGTAAACTCAGTAAGAAATGTGCAAAATTTGTATGAAGAGACTTTAAAATATTAGTAATGAACACAAAAATAGGTGTGAAAAAAATGGAAAAGCACACCATATTCTTGATTAGGAAAACTCAACATAATAAAAGTGCAAATCCCCATTAATTAATCCATAATTTTAAATTGATTCTAGTAAAAATACTAGCAATACTTATAACTAAGGAAACTAATCTTAAAGTTTATATCAAAATATAACAAGCAAAAATAAACAAGAAAATTCTGAAAAGGAACACAGAAGAACTAGCCCTACTGTTTATAAGTTATAAAGCTACAGTATTAACACAATACCTCCTCAAAAATTGATTAAAAAATTCACTGAGAGACAAGAGAAAGTGCAAACACAGACCTAAATTTATAAAAATACTTTAGTATGTCACAAAAGTGTTATTTCAAATCAGTTGAAAAAGATGAATTGTTCAATAAATGATTTGGGGACAATCCAAACATTAACTGAAAAAAGTAAGGTTCTTTCTCTTTTTCATGTTTTCTTTTTATAGATTTAGTGAGGCATAATTGATAGAACAAAAAACCGCACATATTTAATGTATAAAATTTGATGAGTTTGAATGTATGTGCACACCTGTGATTCATCACAACAATCAAGGTAATAAACATATCCATCGCCTCCAAAAGTTTCCTTGGGTCTCTTTGGTTTTCCTCTGGTTTTTTGTTGTTGTTGTTGTTGTTTTGTTTCATTTGAGCGGGGCGAGTAGAACACTTAGTGTGAACTCCATCCTCTTAAATTTTTAAGTACACAATTCTATTTTGTTAACTACAGGCATTATGTTGTACAGCAGGTGTCTAGAACTTACCTTGTATAACTGTAACTTTATACCTATTGAACAACTGTCCC